ATGATTTTAAAAGGAGTAACATGATGAATATCAGTGGCGTTGCTTTATCCTTATTTCTAGTGAGGCTAGGGAGGACAAGGCATCAGTTCGGACCAAGGACCGCAATGCTGCTTGGGAGGGGATGATTCAGTAGCGAAACCCGCGCACCAAAAGAGTTCTCAGCATTTATAGATGAAAAATGATAATGTTTAAGTTTTCCTAACGTCTAACGGCAAACATTATGTGCATATTCAGGAATAGAACGATTTAACAATGAATTTAGTAGGTAGGTTCTGAATGAAATGTTCTCATTCTGACCTGAAGTATTGGCGTATTTATAATAACATTCAACCGATGATAGACAAGCAGAGGTTTACTGCCTGCGTGACGGGTTGCCATATTTTTACACTCTTATCCCCCCTTTGGGTCAGTTTTATCATGTGACGATATCTTAACAAGTTATTTCATCATGAACAATTTCATCTTTTGCAGTTGTATAAGAATTGTTTATTGACAAGGTGGACTTTTCAGACGTTAACCAATAGCATAAATCTTAACTAAATGCGGTTGGAATCACGATTTTCATCTTAATTTGTGTGTCATGTTGTTTTCCTTCGATCTGTTTGCCCTTTATACTGGTCATACTCTTGCAGTAAATCCTCTTTATAAAATCCAGGTTTGAGGAATTTTAATCGGGACACGTCATTTTTCCATGATGCCATTACGTTGCATTTAAATGTATAGATTCATGCAGCACAACAATTGTAGATAACGTCTACCGATCTGTCTAGAAAAATTAATGCTTTAAATCTGAGACTACTAAAGCACATGAATCTGAGACTACTATAACACATGAATCTGAGGCTACTATAACACATGTGTCGGAGACAACTATCACACATGAATCTGAGGCTACTATAACACATGTGTCTGAGATTACTATAACACATGAATCTGAGGCTACTATAACACATGTGTCTGAGACTACTATAACACATGAAACTGAGGCTACTTATAACACATGTGTCTGAGACTACTTTAACACATGAATCTGAGGCTACTTATAACACATGTGTCTGAGACTACTATAACACATGAATCTGAGACTACTATAACACATGTGTTATAGAAGTCTCAGTCTAAATTAAAAAAAGAATGTTTTATTATGAAGATATTTTGTCGGTTTTGGAAGCTTCCGAGACAATTTTCTTTTTTTTTAAATAAAGATATGCATTAGTTGTTTAAGTGAAGCAAGGACGTATAACTAACATACGTCCTTGAGTGAAGTTAGATGGACATAAAGAGTCGTATAGCAAATATAGGACTCAAGCAGGTGAATCGGTACAGTAGGCAGTGTCTGCTTCACTAATTACACCCATCGCGTTGATAAAGGCAATAAAATCCTGGTTATAATTTTTATTCGATAATGCCCAACCCGAATAATTCAGTCGTTATATTCCGCTGCTCAACGATGGCTGCATTAACGTGGGAGAAAATCAGACACGGAGAGGGATTGAATTATTCGAGATAGGTAATGCCATAACTTAGACGGGGTTGGGCTATTCAACAATTGAAACATCTTGGCAATTGACAGCAAGTTCTTGTGGATGGTCCGACAAGCACTTGTCTGAGAAAAAAATCACATCTCTATACCTGAAAGTCACGGAGGTTAATGTACAGATATAATTTTTTTCTGGGACAAGTTCGTGCGTAGATGATAAATTAATGACAGGGAATTCAACCTCACCGTAATGACTATTATATTGTAGTGATCATGGACAAATCTGTATACTCTGGTTTATTGTTATATATTATATTAATACTTGTATATTACAGTTACATGTATATATAATTTTCATGCATTTGTATACCATTCTATTCTACTATATTAATAATAGTGCAGCAAGTGCATGGTGGACACTCTTCTGTAATAATTCGATTTTTCTAATAGAATGGATTTGAGTAGGCATTCGTATTTTCCCGCAAAAAATGTTGAATCATCCATGCAGAGTTATCGTTCCTTGAGATTGCAAAAGTTCTTGATATATTCTTCCGCATGCATGTGCATAGATATCAATGATTTTTTTACTTATATGTCATATGTAACAGCCACTATGTTCCGTCAGTTACTTTGTTCCGGCGGAACTTTTCAACTAGTTATTTCGTTCCGATGGAACTTTCCAACTAGTTGTTTTATTCCGAGTGCAGTCGAAAAGTTCCGGAAAAAAGTAGCTAGTTGAAAAGTCCCGGAACAATGTAGCTAGTTGAATAGTTAACCCTAACACTAACCCTAACCTAACCTTAACCCTAACCCTAACCCTAACCCTAACAAAGAGGAACTTTGTGACTTAAGTTCCGTTTGACTTTTGTGGCTAGTATATTTGTTCCCCTTTGAAAAGGTTCAAAGATAATATGTTGCGCTTTTACTTTGCATCAATTCTCCAAATGGAACTTTTTGACTGGTTGATAAGTTCCGTTGGAACTTTTGGGCTAGTTTGTTAGTTCCGGTTTTGACTTATTTGCAAAAGAGGAACTTTGTGGCTAGTTGATAAGTTCCTTTTGACTTTTGTAATCAGTATCTTGGTTTCCCTTTGAAAGGTTCAAATATATATATATATATATATGTTGCGCTTTTACTTTGCATCAATTCTCCAAATGGAACTTTCTGCCTGGTTGATAAGTTCCGTTGGAACTTTTGTGCTAGTTTGTTAGTTCCGGTTTTGACTAATTTGGCAAAAAGGAACTTTCTAACTAGTTGATATGTTCCGTTGGAACTTTTCAACAAGTCACTTTGTTCCGGTGGAACTTTTAAACCAGAGGAAGAACAAAGTAACTAGTTAATAAGTTCCTCCGGAACTTTTCGGCTAGTTAAGTTCTTTCCGCCCGGAACTTTCCAACGTCGGAACAAAAGAGCATTTACATATATACATACAACAAAACATTGTAATATTATTCATTTATCTTCTTTAAAAAGTATTTGATGAGTATTCATTGAAAAAATGAATTTATAACAAGCGATAAGGAATGTTAGTTTGCACTTGATGATGTCTACGTATTCATCATGTTTATAGATCGGTTAAAAACCCAACACGAATGTTACAGAATGGAAATCTAGGCGATAGCAATACATCGGAACGCCCTCACGGTCATCCGCTGTAAAAATACATTGTGAAAAATTGAACTCATCTCTTTTGTCAGAAAGTTTAGTTCTCTAACATTCAAAATATATTAGTCAAGATAAGATACAGACCTACCACTATATATGGTACCATTTATTTTAAGTTCAAAGCGATAGATGCGATCAACATATTCACCATAATTTAGTTATTCAGGCAGTGAGAGAACAGTTTATATATACTGGGAAAAGTGAGGTTAAAGCATCCTTTTTGAGAAACCTCAGTATACAACACGTCATCCAAACGTAACATATTTGTTTCAAATATAAAAGCGTCAACTTTATAATGTCAGTTTTAAAAACCTTCTTGTTTCAGAGGTATTTATGATCTATTTATGAGGTATCCTAACTGGATGTTTCGATATCCACGTTGTTTTTTAAAAGTTGAACAAATTCTTTCAATCTGTCTAACGTTTAGAAAGAAAATAATTGTGAAAACACCAGAAAAGTCAAATGTTTATAACCAATCCTATGTTACAAAATACAAATTGTACATTATTATATCATCATTATTTTAGGCCAATTTAGTGAGGCAGTTGTCTCATTGCCTCAAGGGAAGCTACTCCTCTGGATTTCACTAGAGGATTAGAGACTGCTTACACTTCCAGAGACCAGAGCACTTGGGACCTTCCCTGGTTTTTGGTGAAATTTTCAGTGTTTTTAATTTGTCGACTACTGTCAATTCAGAAATTATTGCATGCATTTATTATTGCAATATTTGAAGAATGAACAAAATGCGAGATTAATTATTGCGATTTCTGGAAAAGCTGCACAGATATATGTATCAAATATCAGAATGCGAGTTCTTATTATTGCGATAACAGTCTCATTATTCGCATTAATAAGAACCTTACAATAATTTCTGAATTTACAGTATCGTTTTACTATTTTATGGTTTTATTTTGGCCACAGTGTTGTCTATAATCCCTTTTTATGGTTTTCATTGTCCCCCAAGTATATTCAGCCACCATTTTTTGCAATAATTTGCTCTTTCATTTTCATGTATTTACTGTGCATTTTTTTTTAGGATATATGTGATTGTGTGTACTAATTCACTGTACAAACCAAGAAAAAATTACATATTTGTTCTCTCATGTTTATTGGCTAAAAATACACACAACTATATTTGTCCCATCTTGACATTTTCAACTTCATTCACTTAACAAACATTTATCAATCTGCTAAAAAAATCACCCTATTCATAAAAAAACGTCATAGTCTTAAATGCATATAATAGACAACATTACAGTGGCAGATCCAGGGGGAGGGGGGGGTTGTTTTTTTGACGATCAATGCTTTTGAATGGGGACATGTGGTTGGAACCCCCCCTCCCCTTTTTTAAAAATGGCTGGATCTGCCCCTGCATTACACACGTATATCAAATACTCTTTATGGAATTTAAATGCAGCCCCTCACGAACAATAATATTTATCAGATCCTTCTACTTTATGTGGATTAATATTTTTCGTGGATAATAATCTTCGTGGATTAAGGGAACATATATTTCTGTGGATATATGAATTCATGATTTTGCCTAAGTCTGCATTCAAGCCTTTTGAAAATCCACCATTTTCTACATAAGGAAATGCCTGTACCAAGTCAGGAATATGACATTTGTTTTCCATTCGTTTGAGCTTTTGATTTTGCCATTTGATAAGGGACTTTCCTATTTGAATATTCCGTGGAGTTCAGTATTTTTGTTATTTTACTTTTTTTTGCACTTCGTTGAACATTTGAATTTGTGGATTATGTTGGACCAGTGGCGGATCCAGGGGGTGTAGCAGCATACAACCCCCTTTGATCACCAAAAAAAATAATTATATCAAGTTTTTCACGTTTTATATGATTTTCTTGCATAAAATCAGCCAACTTTTTTTAATATTATTTGTTTTATGGAATCTTAGATATGCCCTGTGTACCATAACATTCATGAAAATTGGAATGTCATGAATAATAATTATATAATGAATCCACAGAAAGGGGTTTTTGTTATGGGAGACAAATGTTTTAATAATCAGTTAACTTGGATCAGACTCCGACAAAAGTAAAAATGTCAAAGATTTTAATAGGATTTTCCCACCTGTTATCTCAATTAAAAAAATATTAAGCAAAACTCTCAAGATATTAAATTCACGGATCATAATTTGCCCTATGAAAAAAATTTCAACATAAGCAATCCTACCACATCTCGTTATTTTTTTTATTACAAGCAATAAACATTTACAATACTCTATTCTTATATATATTATGCATTTAAAGAAATATTAAGACTTTATACGGGGCTCCAATTCTGAAATTAGTTTTTTTTCCCTGAGAAATGGCAAGTGCAATTTTGTGATTGACAGCATATATGCCAACCCCCTATTTCAAGCAGTCAGTTAAGGGTGATTCAATTCTTGGACATGTGTTGTAGGTTATTCATGGTTTAAAATAAAAATAAGAAAATGTGGTCTGATTCCCAATGAAACAACTCTCAAACAGAGAATATCTGTTTAATGTATGCAAAATTACTCCAAGAGATTTCAGTTTTGAAGGGTTTTGGAAGTCCATTCCTGGGGGGGGTGTCATTCCAACCCACCCACATCTATTTCAATGGAATAGCCCTTCAGGTCTTTTATACCTAGCAAATAATTGACTAGTTTTCAAAAAATTCTACCCAGAAAAAATCAATATTAAATACTACACACATAACACAGGATTAAACAAAAAACCTTCTTCACAAGTATAAATTTCTCAGTAGAAAAAATTTAGATTATTGAATAATTGAATTCATTCAAGCACTCACATAATAACACATGATTATAACCCAAAATAAAAGCATCACGATAACTCTAAATGATATCTGAAGGTAACTTTTCATGTCGGCAATGAGCAGATATCTGTAACAAGATTGTTGTCTTATTCTAAGGCTGAATGTTGGGCAAATTATGGCAATCTATAAACTCATCATAGGTACCAGGACCAAAGACTTCAGTGAAGATCAAATCAACAAATCAAGAAGGCCATTATAATCTGTAATTTGTTGATATACCCCATATCTGTGTTAGTCGACGCACAAATGTTTAATTATGGACATTGAGCATAAACAATCTGTCCCTAACAGGTGCTAGGGGATGTCTTAAACTTGTCAGTAGATTGTAGCTTTTGTTCCCTTGATAAGCCCTCACTGGAACTGCGAGATGAATAAAAAAATAAAAGTCCTGTATATTTCCTGTGGTTTTTTTTCAAGTGCATGTGTGTCTTTTGTGTCTTTTTCAAGTAGATGTGTGTATTTTGTGTCTTTTTCAAGTGCATGTGTGTTTTTGTGTCTTTTTCAAGTGCATATGAGTCTTTTGTGGAAATTTTTTTTTTTTTCGAATAATTGACTTTTTGATTTTCATAATACTGTTACAAGCATGATAGCAAATGTATATATTGTTGAATTTATACTACTGGTTCAGGCATTTCCACAAATTCCCTGAAAAGTTAGTACCCCATGAATAATAATGGATCCACAGCTCTATATCCCTTCTTTTATCAGTTTTACGATCACTGTTTTAGCATAATTTTTGCCTAAAATTCCTAAAAAAACCTCCTGAATATTCATGAAAGCATGCATCTGCACAACAGGTGGCAGCAGTTGTAATACATAGACAAAATAATATACATGTGGCTGTGTCTCCCTGGGATGATGTGACATAAAAAACAAATTAAAGGGATTAATCATAAGTTCATTGTATATAACCTTTATAAATAAGAAGATGTTGTATGAGTGCCAATGAGACAACTCTCCATCCAAGTCACAATGTGTAAAAAGTAAACAATTATAGGTCAAAGTATGGCCTTCAAAACAGAGGCTTGGCTCATATCTAACAGCAAGCTGTAAAGGGCCCCAAAATGACTAGTGTAAAACAATTCAAACAGGAAAACCAACGTTTAACCTGTATGAGTATTTAAAGATCTAGTAGTAATATGAAATAATTGTGTAATTACATGTAATGCCCTTGCACAAATTGTAAGATTCTATATCCATATAAAATGCATAAATTTGAAAATTCGCAAAGAAATATTTCTGATTAAGTGCCAGTCTTTGTAAGAATCAGGGTATTAAGAAGAATTTCAATACATGGCCAAAAAATAAACCCTGCAGACCTAACAATCCTATTTTGAAATTACCCTCATCCTGAGTTAGAAATGGTAGGTCTTTCGTTTCTGTGCACATGTCTTGTAATTCAAGAAATAACTTTTGGTTAGACTGATAGCAAATTACGGAGTTAGCTCCCCTTAATTCTTTACTTCTAGTGCATTTCAACCAAATTATATCTTGAAATACCAGAACAGGAAAAGGAAATTTATATAATGTTATAGTCCTGCACCATTATACATTTTGAACTTATTAATAAAATTACTGTAAACTTGAGTGGGTTTTTGTTTGTCATGTTTTCACCATTGTCTGATTCTTAGGCAGATTGGCACTTAATAGTTTATAAAGCATCATTCAAGAAAATTTGCTGCAAAGATACTTTTTGTTCTCAAATATTTGGAAGTAACCATGAAAGCTCTTTACAAGAATTTCAACACCTGATAGCTAAAACAATATAAAGGATGTTCACTTCTCTATTTCAAAAGAACAAGCTTTTTTTAAAAAGACTCATCATCATTTTGAACTGTTCCCAAGGGAAGACAATCGTGATTAGCCAATCAAAGTCTGTGTTTCTCATGATCAAATTAATAAGCCAATCAAAATCGTTTTCTTTCATGATTATTTGGACATGCTAAATTTTGAACTTGTTTGGATTCCTCGTGTCCGACTGTTATAAATTGATAGTAACACAACTTAAAAGCAGAAACAAATGAAAGGTTTGTGTTCTTATTTTTGAGACATAAAGCAATTAAAAATTTGGCAAGAAATAATTCTCTCTAGATTTTTCATACATTTATCATTGGCACCTCTTTTCTTTCTACAACTGTAAAAAATAACAATGATTTTATAAGTTTTCAAAAAATGGCTTTTTTTTAAAACTGTACTTAACAAAATTATGAAAAGAAAAGTAGGTGTAAGAAGGCATAACTTTTTATTAGCACTACATGGATAAAACTAGAGGATTCCAAATATCTGACAAAAAGTCAAACACAAGAGTAGCGAACATCCTTAACTTGTTATGCCAGTTAAATTTATGATATAACAAGTGTACACAATTATAAAGATGCATAAAGTTTACTGAAGGGTAAATAAATTGAAGAAGGAATTTTCTTGATCAGTGTAGATGACTTAGATTTTAACTTATATGTGGCATTTAAACATGGCACTCTAGTACTTTCAAGAAGCAATCAAAGTTCTAGAGATGCTGACAAAAATAATCCATAAATGGCACATCAAATATTCCTTTGTTCAAGTCTGGAATTAATGCAGGTCAGTTTCCCAAGTAAGAACCATGCATACACAAGTTTCTTGTTATATAGTGTGGATTCATATATTTTCATGGGAACCAATTTTCGTGGATTGAGAAAAAATAGTTTTTTTCATGGATAATTGATTTCACGTTTTTAGAAAAATTTGCATATAAGCCTATTAAAAAATTGTATTTTGTTGACCATTAAAGTTCGTAGTTTACCTGTACACACGAAATCAACGAAAATTGGTATCCCACGAATAATAATGAATCCACAGTAAAAAAAAAAAATCCTCAATGAGATTCAGAATCACAGCATCCACAATATAAATTATCCATAATTAACAATTTTTTTAACTGCCTCTAAACATCGCCATTTGTCAGGTAAATAGAATGCTTCAAACGCATGAGGGAATGGAGTGTCATAACCACATATTCTCATTACAGGTGCTTCTAAATTCAAGAAACATTCATCCTGAAAAATAAAAAGTATATATATATAAATATTTTAAACATCCTTATTTACACCAATTGTTAGTATAATTTTAATATGATTTAGTGACTTATTCTTCATTTATTTGATAAAGTTCATTAAAAAAAAATCAAAGAGCTTGGTAGCACTTTGGAAAAAATGACCATTGTCTCCCTTGATACACTATTATTACCACTAAATAACTGTATATGTGCAGAGCTTAACATTACTGTTTGTCAGATTGTTCAGGACAAGTGAAAATAGACTTTTGACAAGTGAAAATCCTTAAATTAGAACTAATCCCCTTATTAATCTACAATTGTGTATTGTTTGGGCTATTTCAAGAATGTACTATTTAAAATGTAAACATTGGTAGGTTTGCAATCATTTGACTCGTTTGACAACTTTAATGCCTGTACCCATGTGCATAAAGACCATGTCAATAGGTAAGGATAGCATTAACTTATTTAAGATTTTGCACATGGGATAAGGGCAAGTGAGTTAAGAAGTCAGACTTAAGTAGGTTTTCTTGCAATTTGACTGAAGTAAAAAAAAATGAAATAGAAGAGGTCTAATGTGTATCCCATTACAGAAAAACAAGATACATAAATAAGGTATAGCATACCTGTATTGTAGCTGCTATTTCTGCTGCAACTCCCATGGTGATTGGTGCCTCATGGGAAATAATACATCTACCCGTTTTCTTTACAGACTGAAAAAACACACATGAGAATGTTTCAATAAAAATATATTTATAACTGACTACTAAGTGGAAGGCTTCCCACTCTAACAAATCAATTTAAAAAACAAACTTTTTTCTTGTATATGCTGTGAATGTTTTGAATTCTGATCTTGAAAATTAATAGGGTCATTCTCTTCTTATAGCAATTATAAATACAAAATCAAATGAAAAAATAGAGACTAGTCCATATTGCTATGCCAAGATTTTTAGATAGACATTTGACAGCTTGCTATTAAAAAACTGCACTCTAGACCTGGAATATCCAAATATATTTCAATACATTGCACTTTATCCTTATCCTCTATTTGTACCATATAAAATGATGATTAAGCTATGCCATCTGTATTTAGTTGATTAAAAGTTTCTATGACCTTTGACCTCATAATCATCTGTAACCGTAACTTTCACAAGAGTGCACACGCTGAAATGTCTCGCCTTCTTTACTAACCATTGATTTTATGTTGATAGTCCTAAATACAAAGCTTTACTACAAGTAACACATAAACTTAACATGATCCACGAAAATGAGGTCAAGGTCAGATAAACCAAAGGAGAAATACATGTACACCTTACAATCATTTAATAAACCAAACATAGTTGACCTATTGCTTATTGTTGTCTGAAACAAGAAAACGTAACATTGACCAATGAACCATGAAAATGAGGTCAAGGTCAGATGAACCATGCCAGACAGATATGTACACCTTACAATCAATTTAGGCATTAAATATAGTTGACCTATTGCTTATAGTATCTAAGAAACAAACTTAACCATGAAAACTTAACATTGACCAAAGAACCATGAAAATGAGGTCAAGGTCAGATGATACCTGCCAGACAGACATATACACCTTACAATCCTTCCATACATCAAATATAGTTGATCTATTGCTTATATATATATAGTTAAAGAAAAACAGACCAAAACTCAAAAACTTAACTTTGACCACTGAACCATGAAAATGAGGTCAAGGTCAGATGACACCTACCAGTTGGACATGTACACCTTACAATCATTCCATATACCAAATATAGTAGACCTACTGCTTAAAGTATCTGATATATGGACTTGACCACGAAAACTTAACCTTGTTCACTGATCCATGAAATGAGGTCGAGGTCAAATGAAAATTGTCTGACGGGCATGAGGACCTTGCAAGGTACGCACACACTAAATATAGTTATCCTATTACTCATAATAAGAAAGAAATTAACATTACAAAAAATGTTGACTTTTTTTTCAAGTAGTCACTGAACCATGAAAATGAGGTCAAGGACAATGGACATATGACAGACGGAAACTTCCTAACATAAGGCATCTATATACAAAGTATGAAGCATCCAGGTCTTACTCGACAAAAATCACGAGAAACCATCCATTCTTTTAAATGATTAATCTAATAAGTTTTTGATGTATCTCACTGCAAAACTTTGACCTTTGTTGAAAACTATTAGCAGTCAAGCTCATCTCACTATGAGTGTATACATTGAGGAATACTGATTACTAGAGAACTATTCCATACATCTATTACAGTTCATCTCTTACATGTAGGTGGTGTGCAGACAGGGATCCAGTCATTCTTAAATGGAGATGGAGTGTTCTAGGGGGTTCCATTTTCATTGATTTTTATGTGATTAAATCAACGTGAAGAAGGGAGGTCACCTCTGGATTGCCTGAATGGGATATAACTCGAGAACAATATCTTACATTTATCACAGTTTCCTCATCCCATGGTAATATTGTCCTCAAATCAATCACTTCACATGAGACATCAAATTTTTCCTGAGCCATGTTAGCTACTTCTCGTAATACATGTATCTGTGTTCCATAACCAATTAATGTTACATCATCACCTAAAATAGAAATTTGAAACTTATATACCGTTCTGATGCCTTTGGCAAATATTTTTTACCTGAAAATTAATTTTGTTATTATGTCTGGTGATGGTCAGCTTCTTCTTATGATACATGTAGCTTTGTCCATAAATCTACAGATTCTTATTAAGAAATAATTCATGGGGCTTGATTTAATATTGCTTTTACCACTGGTTATCCTTTTTTGCTGAATATTTTACGTCCAGCTGTATAGCAGGGGGTAAAATACAGCATAAAGGGCCATTCTACTCTGATAGGAAAAAGACGGCAATTCTTTTCAACGATTAACAATAACATACTATGACTGGTTTGGATGAAAGTTAAATCATTTAAGAAAATAGTCTTTCAACAAATTATCATCGTTTATTCATGTTTTCATGTTTCAACGACTTTCAGTTTCAAATTCCTGCATTTTCCCTTAGAATGCTTCTATTCTTATGTCATCCTTCAATAAAATCATTTACATCGTCTGACTTCATGTAACTCATTTATGAAAAGCATACGATGTGGGAGTAAGATTAGAACAGCCCAAACAAATCATGACATTGCCAATTAGCTGACATCAATATTTTCCTATTATACCATGGGTGTGTTACTCAAAGATTTTGAAGAAGTCCATATTAGAATATAAAATACTGAATTACAACATCATAGATGCTTTGATAAACTTCTGGCATCGCAATGCAAATGTTATTGTTGTCAAGTGTCACAAAATCTGGTTAAATGTTTAAGAATCCCAAATAGGTTAAAGACATTCTGGCAAAGAATAAAACAAATAAATATGATGAAGAGCAATATAAATACCACTGAGCCTTTAAGATGTAATACTACCAAATCATAGTACGTCACATCCAGTTTCATATGAAAAAGGGTAAAAAAAAAAAAAATATTCCCTTGAATTTGACAGTTGTATGAAAATAATCATACACTTCATTGCAGTTAGAACATAAACATATATCTTGGGTCGTTCAAAGCACCATTCTTTTTTTATTTGGTGTTTCTATAAAAAAAAAATTGGAAACTTGAAACTTGAGGTTACATGGTTACTAAAACTTGTAAACAGGAAATAAACTGTTATCACAGAGATATGTCTCGCCTTTTTGTAATTTTGATAATGCAAATGTTGAAATTAAAATTGCAATACTTTTAACATGTAAGTTATGCAAATATTCAAAGTCGATGAACCATGACTGAAGGTACATGGCTAAACAATCTCCATAGAATGAGATGTGCCAATGCTAATACAACTGCATACCAAATACCATTGACTTATTATAAGTCGTTCCCTTTAAACAAACCTAAACACAAACATTAACTTGTAAACTATGTAAAAGTTTCAAAGTCAATGAACCATGATCAGGGGTGGGGCTATATAATCTCCATGGAAATGATACTTGCAAATGCCAATAAATTTGCATACCAAATATCAATGACTTAACATTAGCAGTTCATCTTAAACTGATCTAATCACAAACTAATACATGTAAACTAAGCAAAAGTTTCAAAGTAAATAGACCATGACTGAGGGGGCAGGGCCAAATATTCTCCATGGAAATGAGACGTGCTGATGCTTATACAACTGAACACCAATTAACATTGGCCTACCACTAATGGTTTCCCTTGAACTAACCTAATCACAAACTAATACATGTAAACTTCAAAGTCTATAGACCATGACTAAGGGGGAGGAGCCAAATAATCTCCATGGAAATGAGATATGCCTATGCTTATACAACTGCATACCAAATATCATTGACCTACCACTAGTGGTTCCCCATAAATTGACCTAATCACAAACTAATACATGTTAACTATGAAAAGTTTCATAGTCAATAGACATTGACTGAGGGGGTGGGGCCAAATAATCTCTATGGTAATGAGATGTGCCAATGCTAATACAACTGCATACCAAATATCATTGACCTACCACTAGTGGTTCACCATGAACGAGACCTAATCACAAACTAATACATTATTGACGTCGCCGCCGCCGACACCGGAAACAGCATACCTATGTCTCGCTTTCTGACTCCGTCAAGGCGAGACAAAAAAGGGGTGAAATTTGATTGGTTAACTTTCAGTGATGGATATTATCTTATATGCAATGAAATGTCATGTGAAATTTTGTCTGTAGTACTGGACAGGATAAAACTTTACTTATGCCAAGTATTTCTTTATTTGAAACAAAGATAAATTCTGCACAATTTATGAAAAGTGCCAAATTAACAAAGACTAATCATGCTAATAGTTGAAAAACAATGGTGGTATTACTCATTAAGTGGGTTCAAAACATCAAGGGGAGTTAACTCATTAAAATTAGCTGAATGTTTTAATCACAGAACTAGGTAGTAAAGAGAAATCAAGCTAATCTCAATGATGAAATTTAGTGTTTGTCAAACTGCTGTATATACAATGAAGCTATTCCTGTAAATTGTGTTGTTAAAATTTCATGAAATTTTTATATTTTTTTCAACCTGTCAAATTTAATATTTTGTCAAAACTTATGAAAATCAAACAAGTCACATTCCGATATATCTTAGTCAAAGTGTTGGGTACACCCTTAGGGTAATATAAAACTGTTCAGTTTAAATCTTCCAAATTTTGTCATAAAAATTACACCATTTATCCTTTTTTACCCCAAGCAAGGACGTATAACTAGCATATATACTATAGTCTAATATACGTCCTTGCCCCAAGTTACCCAATAAAAAACCCAATTTTTATGTATTCAAGACCAAAAAGTCCAATATGCCCTTCACCCCTTTTTACCCAAATAACTCAATAGTTTCCTGATAAAAAAATAAATTTTGATTTTTTCCATTCCAATAAACAAAAAGATATTACCACCATCTCAGCATTGTTTCATTTCACTCTTGATAGCAGACGACAAAAGGAATGACATGAGTCACATGACATGACTATCTGGATGGGGGTCCTTCATTTCTTTATTCTGTAATTTTTGGGTCATTTTTCTATATACTTTAAATATTTTGCCTACTATTCTCTATTCTGTATCATTGCCTAGTATTCTCTATTCTTTATTTTTTGGGCCCTTTATTCTTCACATTTTGTCCATTATTCTCCATTCTGTAAACCCCATCCAGACCCTCATAAGACTTAAAATAATGTGTCACAGGTAAAGGACACTGACAATGATCCAAGTTTCAAGAACTTCAAAGAACTAGATTATGCAAATAAAAAAATATGAAAAAAAACAAAGATCATTTATGTCTGCAAAGACATGTAATTAAGTACTATATTGCAAACTTATTTTCCAAAAATAGAAAGAAAAAAAAGACCATTCATTTTTGCAAAAACATAACCAATGATGCTAAGATTTTTTACGATGTAACTTTAGGAATAATCCTTGACCTCATATGCAAATAATTGTCCATAAAAAGAACGTAAATACAATACCAAAGATCATTCATTTTTACACTAACAGAACTTTGTCCTACATTTCTTAGCTTGAACTTTTATTTACATAAAAGTCAATCTTTGGACCTTTTATGCAAATTACCTAACCTAAAACATGTAAAAAAAAACATGAAATAAGCAATCATCATTCATTTGTATGCAATCATAACAGACTTTTTGATGAATCTTTGTTGCTATGAATTTGACAAATTCACTAAACAAAAGTCCAGAATGTAATTTTTACCTGTAATTATTCATTTTGACCTGCAAGAATTACAAATCCCTCAATAGTACAAATAGAGAAAAAAGAATAAAAAAAGTGGCCTAGAATGCCTTAAAAAAGAACTTTTAAACATTAAAAATCATGTTGGACAAGCCAGACCATATTTCATGCCCCCATAAAAAAAAAACTAGAGGCTCCTTAGAGCCAGTGTCGCTCACCTTGGACTATGTGCATAATCAACAAAGGACACTCTCCAAAATTGTAGACGAGAATAGAATTCATGACAAAAATCTCTGTTTTGTTGATCTTGTATTGCTGATCATTTAGTCTGTTTAGTTTCTCTCTATCTTCTTTAGTTTTTGCTTAAAACACAAAAGAGGGTAAAAAAATTCTCATTTAAGGGCAATCACTCCTTTAAAGAGGGTCATGGGACACATTTTTAAAACTAAATACCACAATGATGATTGTGGCCAAGTTTTGTTAAATTTGCCTCAGTAGTTTCAGAGGAGAAGATATTTGTAAAACTAAACAGATGACGAGGACGGACGCCAAGTGATGAGAAAAACTCATCTTTGTGTCAGGTGAGCTAAAAAGGCAGAGAGAGAAGAATTCAATATTTATAAATCATAACAAACTGTGGACACGGAAATATGTCTGTCTGCTTTGTAACATGCAAAAGTTTCAAGTCAATGGACCATGACTAAGATAATTAACAGGACCAAATAACCTCCTTTAAATTTGAAATGAGATGTGAAAATGGTCAAACAATTGCACACCAAACAGCATTGACTAACCATAAGTGGTTCCCCTTAAATCGACCTATCATCAAAAACAATTGATCATGGCACTGTGGGCAACACAGGAAACTGCATGCCTAGAAATCATGACTTAGAAAATTCTTATGGCAAGACTAACATATGAATAAGAAAAGATATACAGAAAGCTTATATTAATACAAACTAACAAAAATGATCATTTTGACAAATATATTCTTCATTTCCTTTAAATTAGTAAACTGCTTTATCAGTAAAGGAGGATTTATTTATTTTTGTTGGTACCAATTTTCTTGGATTGAGGAAAAATTGCATTTTTGTGTATATTTGATTTTGTTGTTTTGCTAAAGTCTGCCTTTAGAAACTTTGCTCTTCATTGAACATTTAAATTTGTGGTTTATCTTTACCCATGAAATCTTTGATATCCAACAAGTAATTATGTATCAACAGTATTTAGAAAGAAATGGCCATGTTATGTACTTTTATCAAATCTGATCAGTTCCTCACCATACACCTTATTGCTATTTGTCCACCATTACTGGACATCACATAGGTTCCCGTAAAAT